GGCTGCAGCGCCGAGCGTACCACTCACGTAGCCGCTGAGGGAAGGGAGGCTCCGGCCGCGACACAGTACCCGCAGCTCCAGTAGCCCCACGCCGGAGGCCGCAACGCTGAGAGTACCACTCACGCAGCTGCTGTGAAGAGGGAGCGCCACCAGGCTCAGCACCCCCAGGCTTAGCACCCCCAGTCTCAGCACCCCCAGGCTCAGCACCCGCAGTCTCAGCACCCCCAGGCTCAGCACCCTCAGTCTCAGCACCCCCAGGCTCAGCACCCGCAGTCTCAGTACCCCCAGGCTCAGCACCCCCAGGCTCAGCACCCCCAGTCTCAGCACCCCCAGGCTCAGTACCGCCAGCCTCAACACCCCCAGGCTCAGTACCCCTCTCAGGACCAGAGTCAACAGCTACCTCGACAGGCTCGACTGCGTCTACCTGGGAAACACCTGAGGGAGCAGGACCCTGGGGAGGGAGGGGGTCTACCGAAGGGGCACCTGGGGTGAGGAAGAGAGGCGGGGGGGGGAGCGGAGCAGTGCGGTAGGGGAACAGACGGTAAAAGGGTACCGACTCGTCAAAGGTGACGTCCTGAGAGGGGAAGACACGGCGCGAGGTGGGGTGGTAAAACTGCCAACCAGGCGCGTCGGGGACAAAGCCAAGGAAGACACAGGGCACAGCGCGGGCGGAGAGCTTGTCCGCAGTGGTATCGCGGACAAAGGCACGAGCACCCCAGACCCGGATACGCGACGCATCGCCAACCTGCCCCGTCCACAGCAGTGTGGGAGAGGTCTCTGGAGCAGAGACACGGGGCCAGAGGTTGAGCTGATGCGCGGCGTACTGCAGTGCAAATGGCAACAGGAAATGGGGGGCGGCCACATGGATCATGGAGGTACGAGCGACCTCCATGACTAGACCAATGCGGCGCTCAGCAACCCCATTCTGCTGCGGAGAGGCCGGAAGAGTGAACGTCTGGCGGATGCCGCGCTCCGCACAGTAGGCTGCCAAGAGGTCGGAGGAAAACTCGCCACCTCTGTCAGTGTGCAGACACAGGACGGGAAAGTCCGACTGGAACCGCTCGCGGAGCTGGAGACGAGCAGCGCGGATCCAAGGGATCAAAACATCAGGGACCTCACCCTTGGTGCGCAAGGGGAAGACCGTGGTGTAGCGCGTGTAGTCGTCGACGACCAGCAGGAAGTACCGCTCGTGGCCCTGTCCCCGGACGCGGGCTGGGCCCCACACGTCCAGGTGGAGAGTCTGCAGGGGAGCCTCTGTGGGAGGGAACGAGGAGGAGTGAGGAGCGGCGCGCTGCCGCCCCTCGACACAGGGAAGACAGGGAGGAGCAGGCGAGGGTGGGAGGGGAGGGAGAACCCTGGGAAGACCAGAGACAAGGTACCGGGAGTGCATGCCGCGAAGGCGCTGCACTGACGGGTGACCAAGGCGGTGGTGCCAGAGGACAGTCCGGTGCGACAGGGAGCGACACGAACAGGGGGCAGACAGCTGACCTGACGCAGAAGCAGACGCAGCTACCTGAGGGGACTCAGTGGTCAGTGTGTACAAGTCCGACCCCGGCTGCCGAGTGAAGGTAGCCAGGTGACGACCCGTCTGGGCACACGTGCAGTGCGTCACACGCTCGTAGGCAGGGGTGAACTGGTGAACACCCGCGTCCTGAAGCGCGGAACCCGCCACCAAGTTCGTAGAGAACAAGGGGAGGTAAAGGCCAGACAGTGTGCCAGACGGGACAGCAGGACAGGGGAGGGCAGTGGTGGAGGTCGCAAGGACCGGACCCCCGGAGGGGTCAGCCAGGGAGACAGCAACCGGTCTAGGAAGCTGCTCTAGAGCAGTGCGGTCGCGAAAGAAGCAGCGGGAAGCACCTGAGTCCAGTGTGAAGGCGTGGAGTGCCTCAGTAGACGCGGTACCAGCAGACGCAGACGCACGAGCACCTAGAGCAGCAGCCTCACCAGGACCTAGAGCAGCAGACGCACTAGCACCTAGAGCTGCAGCCTCACTGGTCCCAATACCCGGGTCGGGCGGTACACACAGGTAACAGTCACCCTCAACACTAATGGTCAATGCATACATAGCAGCAAGGATAGCATCATAATCAAGAGCAAAGATATCAATTCCCTTCTTAAACAGATCAGCCCAGCGGGGCAGCTCAGTGGCGTCAGGAAACTGCTCACGCCAGGCGTCGTCGAGACGAAAGAAGCAGCGCTGCGCCGTGTGGAACCTCCCACAGGTCTGGCCAGTGCGGTCACCTGTGCGGATGACGTACGGGCAGGTACCTCCACCCCCAGACCCCCCACGCTGAGAGTACCACTCACGGAGCTGCTGGGGCGAGGGAGTCTCGCCGGGACGCTGCTGCTGCTGCCTCTGGCCACCGCCGAACCCCCCACGCTGCACCGCTCCACCGCGCCCGCCACCCGCTCCACCGCCGCCACCACTGCCACCACCGCCCCCACCACCCCCACCACCCCCACCACCGCTGCCGCCACCACCCCCTGTGCCGCCACTGACCCCCCCACCACCCGCGCCACTCCCACCTCCGCCACCACCCCCGCCCCCCCCACCCCCTCCACCGCCGCCGCCCCCGCCTCCACCTCCACCACCCCTGCCCCCCTTGCCCCTGCCGCCCTTGCGCCTCCCACTAGGAGCAGACGCAGCCCCGACCCCCTCAGCTCCGAGGTAGTCGACAGCAGCAGCAGATGCAATGGAGGGGAGGAGGGGGGAGGGGGAGCACCCCTCAAAGAAGGGGGAGCGGGGGTCACCACGAGAGGCACCTACAGCTACAATGCTCTTCTCAGCTGCTAGGAGTTCCTTCTCGAGGAGTTCGACAGTGAGGTCAGTGGGGGAGAGGGCGAGAAACTGGTCCCTGACAGTGCGAAGGGAGTCAGGGAGGCGGGTGACAAGGTGGTACAGTGTGAGGTACATCGGGGGGGGGTTCTTGGCGAGGAAATCGGGGGGGAGCGCTGCACGGTAGCGGAGGTCACTGGTACGGAGGTGGGTGATGAGGTCAGCTACAGTGGCAAAGGCGGACAGGTCGGGGAAGAGGTAGGGCAGTGAGAGACGGCCTATAGCAGCAGTGGTAGGGGAGGAGTAGCGCGCGACTACTGCATCGTACAGCTCCTTAGCGGTCTTGTGCTGGCCGAAGTGCTCGCGCTCATCTAACGGCAGGTGGCTGCGAACGGCTAGGCGAGCGTGAGCATCACGGGTCTGCCACTGGGAGCGAGCAGTACTGTCAGCAGTAGTGGCAGGTGCGGGAGCGGCGCCTGACGTGTGGTCATACAGGGAGACATCGTCCTTGGCAGTGATCTGGAGGAACAGGTGCAGGTCATCTAACCAAACCTCAAACTTAATCGGGCGGCCCTCAGCGTCAAAGGTGAGAACAGAGGGAGTGGCCATAGTGGCAGTAGCTGCAGTAGGAACAGTAGCAGTAGTAGCAGTAGCAGTAACAGTAGCAGCTGAAGCAGTAGTACGGCAGGAACAGGAGTTGCTGCAGGTGGGGCACAGTAGGGCGGCGCGGCTCGGCCAGGGCGGCGCGGCTCGGTTCGGGCGGCGCGGCTCGGTTCAGGCGGCGCGGCTCGGTTCGGGCGGCGTGGCTCGGCTCGGACTGGGCTACGCGGCGGTGCGCTACGGGGGGGGCGTGCGCGTGGGCGGCTGTAGCGGGCGGGCCGTGGCTGTGCGTGGGCCTGACTAGCGCGCGGGCGGCGGCCTAGAGGGGCGTCGCGGCGGCCTACGGGCGGGGCTGCGACGCTCTGGGCGGCGGTCGACGGGCGGCTAGGGGGCTGCTCGTGGGCGGCGCCGGTCGCGCGGGCGGCTAGGGGTCGGCGCGCGCTCAGAAAAGGCCGCGCGCGGGCTGCTAGTGGGCTACGCGCGCTAAAAAAAAGGGCCGCGCGCGGCACTAGCGAGCTGCGCACGGGCACCAGGAGGAAGAGAGGCACACGAGGGCGCACTAGGAGAGAGGCGCTCGAGGGCGCTAAGTAGATACGGCGCTCGAGGGCGCTTCTAGCGGTGGGCCCTTAGGTAAGCGGTCCTAGGACTAGGACCTAAGCTCTTAATACCATGTCGGAAACAAGAAGTGGTTGAACTATGAAACATTGGAGTACAAGTATGAAACCCTAGAGTTGTGTACCCCCTAATGGCTAACCCACTATAGCCTACACAGCAATAACATATATATAATGTTTGACAGAAACATGCTTCAAGGGTGGGATCGGCTGCAACTGTCCCCGCAAATTTTGGCTGGACGACATACATCTGTACGTTAGTCAGCATTTTTTTTGCAGTAATCATATTTTTGCAATTATTGCCGGGTTTTTTCTACTTCGACATATTCCAAGGTAGTTTTGCCTTGCAACTCTTACAGCAGTAATTCCCGAAGTAAAGAGTAGCCCTATACTCTGATGGCGTTGGTGCCGGCTGTTATGTACCCCTCGTGCATTTGCGAACTGCTGTAAGTTGTCAGAGGTGAAGAATGGATTTGTTGGATATCCGTGGGTGAATAGGCACGTGAGCAGTGGGCTGGTCTGGGCGAGAAGATGGCGGGAATCGGGCGGATGAGTGGGCCAGCGATATTCGAAGCTCCATCTTTTTAAGTGATGGTGTAGTAGAAGTTTGACTCCAAAAAGTTCAACCAGTGAACATGTTGAGGGCTGAGGTGGGGTTGTACGCAAGTATACTATAGGTTTTTCTGTACTGTCACGTCTGCGTCGGTCAGGTAACATCACCAGACTTTGAACGCATGAAATATCGAGAGCAATTCGCGGTCGTGTAACGGGTGATTTTTCTCAGGCAGATGCAACTAGCGGGACTTGTATGCAATATGTTGCAGTTCTTCGCTGAGGTCATGTAGCGATGTCGCTGTGGAGTTCAAATACCCAGTTACTGGACGGAGATAGGATACGAGGGACTGTGTCAACGGGCATGTTCCCCTGCTATCGCCCCTGCGTTGCCCCTCTCCCGGCCCTTCCAGTCCCCCACTATCGTCCGTTCGTCTCCCTAGTCACCCGTCCATCGGATGCTCCCCCTTTTCCACCACGCTATTGCACTTTGCTCCCCCCGTCGTCTTTTCCTTGCTTTCCCCACTGCTTCCGCTTTCGCAACCCACTGCTTCCCCTCTCTTAACACGCTGCTCCCCCTCTTTCAACCCATTTCTTCCCCTCTTGGATCATGGCCTATTTGCCCCCCTCCTGTCCCGCGCTTTCCCCTTGCCTTTCCTTCCCTTTGTCTTTCCCTACATCCCCCCTTAGAATTTCCCTCCTTTTCCGCTTGTCATTCCCTCAATTCCCCCTTTGCATTTCCCTCCTTTTCCCTTGTCCTTCCCTCTACCCCCCACGTTGCCATCCCCTCCGTTTCCCCGTGTCCTCCCTTTTATCCCCCCGTTGCCCTTCCCTCCCTTTCTCCTTGTCCTTCCCTCCATCCCGCCTTTGCCCTTCCCTCCCTTTCCCGTTGTCCTTTCATCCATCCCAACTTTGCCCTTCCCACCCTTTCCCCTTGTCTTTCTCTCCATCTCTCCTTTGCCCTTTGTTACGATATGAAGTTGTATGAGAAGGCATTCCTGTATGCTGCTGGAGCCAACTCTACCGAGTACTAAGTCGAGGAGTCAGAAGAGTCGAAGCGACGCTGGTAACCGTATGATGAAGACCGATGCAGGCAGAAACATTTGAACTGAAAAGAGCGGGAACAGGTTTGAAACCGGTTCCCGCACCGCACGATTTTGAACTACACTGCAATAAAGGAATGTACCCCTTAGAGTACATGGCTAGTCTAGGTCGTTTCGTATTCCTTAGTGTTTCCTTTATAAACTCGATGTATGCATGCTATTATCAATCTCAATCATTTACATTCACTCTGACCTGAGTTCACTACTTCCGCTGCAACACTACCCTGCGATCAACATCGAGCGATCCCCCGCTAAGTCCCACTCGGGATTGTAACACCCTTCCCTCCCTTTCTCCTTGCCTTCCTTCCCTTTCCCCTTGCCCATCCCTCCCTTTCCCCTTGTCCTTCCCTCTGTCACCCCCTTGCCCAACCTTCCCTTACCCTATGCTTCCCCCTTCTATTCTGCCTTGCCTGTCCGTCCCTTGTCCATCGCCTTTCCCTCCCTTTCCCCTTGTCCCCCCCCCTTTCCCTCTCATAGACCTCTCCATTTTACCTTGTCTGTTCACTTGTCACATTACTCACTCTCCCTATACCCTACAGATTTCCCCCCATGTCCTTCCGTTCATTTCTCCTTCCCTTCTTACTAAGCAACTGCACCAAGAAGGAATCATATGAGAGGAATAAGGGGGGTTGTTTCAGGACTATGATGTTAAGGATTATTCAATTCTAATGTCTGGCTAATATCCTATGAAAGACTAAGTTTTCATGTAGCCCTTAGCGTTGAATTCTTATGTTGATAGAGTGGCAAATGTTCTTTGCTTGTTCGTAGGCAGAAGAATTTGGGTATTCCACTGTAATCAGCTCCGATGTGGTAACCTTCAGCGAGGGGGGCGATGTTGGCTGGAGCGAGCGGGAAAAAGGGGATGGGGTGGGGGTGGTGCGATTCCGCATAGCCGTGTGTGTTCCCCCCTCCGCCCCCTTGCCCAATTTCCGAAATTCGCGACAGTCGCCTCGAGTTTGTTTGCTTTCGCTTCAGCGCAACACTATCCTATTCTCTCGCGATCCAATCGAAGACCCAGGTGGCACAAGGCACTTCACCGCAGCTTTCTAAAATTTATCGTCACAGGTCTGCCTTGATGACGACATCCACGTGACAGAGATCAAGGGCTTGGAGTTGGTGCTGGATGTGGGAGTGGGGTGGGAGATACACCGACGTGTGTTTCCTCCCCACCACCACCCCTGATCCTCCACGCTGTCCTTTTTCAATTGCACGGCCGTCCCTCTTGCAATCCCATGTGGGCCTGAACAGTTTTTCCAGCTGCCGTGATCAAGCAAAACGCGGCTCGGATCTTCGACTTGAGGTTGAGGAGGGTTGATGCAGGAATGTTCAAACGTCGGAAGTAAATCATGGTTTGACACGCGAGGTTCTGGCATCGTGGAGCACAGAAACAGTCTTGTTGTCAAATCAAACGAGTCCCGTTGAGGACTTGGATTTTTTTCAGGATTGGATATCGATTTTTGGATTTCTTGGTCATCAAACCCGGATCATGCTACACGACATCTGTAAGGAAAAATAGTTTTTCTCAGAATTATTATTTACTTACACAAGAGCAGCTACTATTAATAAATACCCATTCATGCTGACAGAAACAGCAACAGAAACAGAAAGTTGACCCAGCTCCTAATTGCCGGACAACATAGAGTAGTGCTTGATGCAGTACAGCACACTGCTGTTCGTTATATATCCCAACATTTGATTTGGTTGCAGCGTGATGCTTCATTTATGAATTAATGGCCCGAAGGCGCGACGCAGCATCATTGAGGGAAGAGGATACAGTGCAGCATCATTCAGCGTAGCGTAGTCTGGGCAGCGGGGATTGGGTTGGATTGGGAGGCCAAGCACTTCTGGAGTGAGTGCTCAAAATCCTCCCTCCCACCCATCCCTTTTCTTCCCAGGTTGTGGACCAATGTGGGCGATGCATTGCACCATGACAACAGACGAAATGACGGCTGCCACCGCGAGAAACCCCCTTTTTGACACGTCATGAGACGTGAATTCATGATTATTATCCAGAAGTGGACCCTCGTGTGAATGACGGAAAAGTTGGAAGAGGATGTCAGCAAGCACTCCCTGTCAGTTCTCTCATTTCGTTTGAAGCTACCCTTTCATTTGGCAGGGTGACGTTCAAACGAGCACGGTAGGGTGGTCAGCAACTCAAATCCAGCATGGCAACTCCCCACAACTGTCTAAAAACTGCTCTACAATGGATATCCCTACAATGCGGTACAATTGTTTTTGTTTTCCCGCAGGTCTCTTTGCCCATGCCCGTCAGTCTGGCGAAGTCCAGTCAAAGAACCGAAAACGGCACCTCGGACCGTACGCACTGTAACTTCGCATTGTTGCGAGTACTGTAGGTCTCTGATTGGCCACCCTGTCAACTGCCCAACGCGTTTGCCAAGGCACGACAGCTGGCTGGTGGCGACCTCGTCTCGGCTGGGAAGAGGAATTCGAGCCTGGCAAGGGCAGATATTGTTCGTGGAGTGTTGGCAGCAAACGTGGGTGTGTTTCCTTGCGCAGTTGTTCCGCAAATATGATTTGACGCTTGTGGGCTATTTGGCAATCTGCGTTGTGAAATGTGGAGGTTTTCACGCTAGGGTGCACCTATCCCCGTATCCAAAGAACACGACAGAATGTGAGGAAGGTCCCCTTCATTACTGCCCCGTCATTCAAGTTTTTCTTCCAGATGGGTATGGTTCGCCAAGCCTTTCAAATTACGAAGGTCTCTAAAACACTAGACTATCATACTGAAAAAGAGTTACAAACTCACTGTGTCCTTGCACTGTACGGGCAAAAACTAGGGCAGGAACACCTGTCAGCCTCCTCCGAACCAGAAACTGCAAGCAAAGCTGATCTGAGTTTTAACCGAGCCAAGCCCAGACCAATCTGAACCACGCACGGAGCAGGCTTGCTTGAATGCTCACCACCTCACTCATCATGAGCATCACCGCAAGCATAACCAACCCCACCTCATGCTCTTCTGTTCACCCATGGCTGCAACTCACCTGCTCCAACTGAGTTTATAATACCACCGGTCTGGCCCTCACTTCAACACATTGCCGTACTACAATCTAGCTTGCATTTCGAGACGAGACGAGAACCTTGCAGACTGCCACTTCCTTGAAGTACCCTTGGGATTAAGCCACTGAAAATTGGTCGCGCCATCAGATTTCAATCTTCCGGCCCATCCCGAAAAAGGTTCGGCTAAACTGCGACTCGATCATCTGCCATCATCATGGCTTCTGCTCCGCCGCTCGTCGTGGATTCAGAATGGGAGAACTTTCTTGAGAACTGCAGCACGGAGGAGCTTTCTTCCTTCTTGGAGAAACTGCGGTCCAACAACAATGGAAACCCTCAAGTCGCGTCGCTGCCAGGTAAATGCTCGAAGCCTGATTAGGGTTAAATTTTAAAATTGTGAGTTTAGGGTTGATCCGCGTTTGAACCTGCAAAGGTTGTTATTCCTTGTAGCAAGCCGTGCTCTACCATCTTTTTCCTTTAATATCTGGTAACTATCTTCGCTCTTGTATCTTCCTCTCAAATCTCTCTGTTTTTTTCCCTCCTTTGTATTGGCGTGTTTGAATCAGCAGTGAACGGCGGCGCGGCGCCATACAGAAGTCTCGAGACCGACATCATGGCGCTAGCGGCGGCCGGCACGCCGCAAATCACAGCACAACAACCGCTGCAGGCCACCCCGCCGCTACAAAGCAACGGAACCACGCCGTTCGGCACCGTGGCCTTCCCTCTCCGCGCCGCCGGCGGCGGAGCTGCATTCGACGCTCACTCGCTCGCGGCGCGCCACATTGGCGGGCTAGTAACCACGGGAAACACCTCCGCGTTCAACTCCTCTGCTGACGTCATCTCCAGCAGCAACTTCGAGAGCGCCTTTTCCGAAAGCGGCGGCGGCGGCGGCGGAGGCGAGAAACTCAAGAACGAAATGGAGGATGGGTGGGAGTCCTTCTCACCCCAGCAACGCCGCCAGTCCCTGCCCTCGCCCTTGCTTGCTGGTCACCCCCAGAGGCTCTTCACCAGCCCTGCTGCTGCTAATGCTGCTACTGCTGCTGTGTCGAGGCTCGGACCGTCTAAGCTCGGGGTCACCAGCAGCCCTGCTACTGCTGCTACAGCCGCTACAGCCGCTGCCGGCGCTGCCGGCGCAGGTGGGAGCCGGCGGAGTGGGTCAAACAGCGCCGACCGGGCGGCACGAGCCTCGGCCGGCGAGGATTCCCCGGCTCGGCAGAGCGGGCGGCAGGGCGACGCTCCGAGCGGCGGCGAGGCGGGCGGGGCGGTAGTGCAAGCTACAGGTTCGGGAGAAGGTGGCGCGCACGGCAGGGAGAGCGGCGACAGGCACGGGAGCGACGGAGAGAGCTCCGATGAGATGGAGGGGGGCGCCCACATGGACCAGTTTGCGGACGATCATGCGCCGGCCGGCAATTCTCGGCGGGTGGGCAGCGGCAGCGCGGGGGATTCTGGGCTGGGCGTGAAGGCGGAGAAGCGGCAGATCAAGATGAAGAGCCACGTGGAGAGCCAAAGGCGCAAGCGAATCAGTGACGGGCTGAAGCGGCTGAGAGATTCGGTGAAAGGCACCGGCGACACGGCTACCATGCTGGATGAGGCAGTGGCTTATGTGGAAGGACTCAAGGTACTTCTACACTCCAATGCTCCCAATGCTCCCAATGCTCCCAATCCTCCCAATGCACTCAATGCACTGCATCTTCTATGCTTGTACCATGCTCTCTGTCCTTCTCTTCCCTGTTCATCGGCTTTTCGGAACCCCTCTAAACTCCTCTGTTTCCCATTTCCTTCGTCCCCGTGCGCTCTTGCAGCAACAAGTGACAGCCCTGCAAGTCTCTCTCCTCCTCAAGGATACAGCCCGGCCTCAGCTCGGTGGTACACCACCATCTATCCTCGGCGCTGACTCAGCACTCCTAGCCCAAGCCCTGCAGCAGCAGCACTCCCTCGGCATGCCTTTCTCCTTGCCAGTCAATCAGCAGCTGCCACATCAGCACCAGCAACAGCAGCTCTTGCAGCAGCAGCAGCAGCAATCGCTGCAGGCGGGACAGGGCATGTTCCAGGCTCGGCCGTATCCGAACCTGGGCCGGTACTCGGGTGAGCAAGGGGCGACGGTGTCTGCTAGTGCACCGACCACACTGCTACCCCGTGCTGGGTGGTCTAAGCGGCTTGTAGAGACCTCAACAGGTGGAAGTTGCAACTCCCCTAAATTTGGCTCTTGCTGATTATTTATAGTCTGCTGGCGTACCCAACCGCTCTGCTGGCGTCTCCAAGCTCTCTGCTGCTGCCTACAACCGCTCTGATGCCGCTCGCAACCGCTCTGCTGCCGCCTCCAACCGCTCTGATGCCGCCTCCAACCGCTCTGCTGCCGCCTCCAACCGCTCTGCTGCCGCCTCTAACCGGCTGCCGCCTCTAACCGCTCTGCTGCCGCCCCCAACCGCTCTTCTGCCACCTCCGACCGCTGCTGCCTCCAACCGCTCTGGTGCCGCCTTCGAACGTTCTGATGCCCCCTCCAACCGTTCTGCTGCCGCCTCCAACCGCTCTGCTGCCGCCTCAAACCGCCTTGCTGCCGCCTCCAACCGCTCTGCTGCCGCCTCCAACCGCTCTGCTGCCGAGATGTTCCAACTAGTAGTTTATTTTTTGCAAGAAAAAGTAGCACACCAGCTGCATTCTTTTGCCTTGCTTTGTACGCTAAATTAATATATGAATAAAGATAAGAAGTACGGTACTGACATTTGGCTAGGGCATATGCACTGAACTGAACACCACTCCCCTCTCCCACATACAGTAAAATCCTTCGCCACACTTGTTGAATCTTTTGTTTGCTTCGTTGCGGTTGGGTAAATGGCTGGTTTCTTTTCCAGCAGACACCAACTGAGCCACCCCTTCACAATTCACATCCGACATACCCAAAACCTGAAATCTTGCACGCTGAAACACTTACTGCTGCCACTCCACTTACTTGGCTGTGCTACTCCTGATAACGGTCAAGACTACCCTATCCCTCCAAGCTGAATTCTCCTGAGGCAGTGTATCTGTCACCTACGTCTCACCAGCGCCCCATTCAACCGAGACAGAAGCCCCTCCATCACTGACAGAGTGCGCGGGTCCCAACACCGGCTCCTCTCGTCACCGTCACCTTCGTCTCTCCAGCGCCCCGTTCGACCGAGAAAGCAGCACCCCCATCACTGACAGCGTGCACAGGTCCGAAACCCGGCTGTGCTGTAAAATCATTTTCGTCGCCGTCTTTCTGAAGCCGTGTTCGACCGAGACAGAAGCCCCTCCATCACTGACAGAGTGCGCGGATCAGAACACCGGCTGTGCTGCAGACTTCTTCCGAGTCAACTTTTCACCTTCGTCTCTCCAGCGCTCCATTTGACCGCGACAGAAGCCACTCCATCACTGGCAGCGTGCGCAGGACCAAACACCAGCTGTGCTGCAGAAGACATTCTCTCCCCACCCCCCGCTCTCCCTCTTTCATCTTCGCCTCTCCAAGCCTGTGTTTGACCAAGAAAGCAGCCCCTCCATCACTGACAGTGTGCGTGGGCGTGGGTCGGAGCATCAGCGGTGCTGCAGACTCCTTCTGAGTCAACTCTTCATCTTCGCCTCTCCAAGCCCGTGTTTGACCGAGATAGAAGCCCCTCCATCACTGACAAAGTGCGTGGGTCCGAAACCCGGCTGTGCTGCAGAATCGCCGCCACCCGCCTCTGCCTCGCCTCCTCCCTCACCCTCTCTCGCCTCCTCCTCTCCTCCTCCTCCCTCGCCCTCTCCTCTTCCTCCTCCCGACTCACTCCCCTCCCAACCCTCCCAACTCCATCCGCCCCTTCTTCCTCCCGAATCCCGGCCTCCCCACTCCCTTCCTCACCCTCTCCCACCCACCCTCTCCCCCCACGATCCACCCGCGCGACCAACAGCAAGACACACGAGACTCCAACCACAGCCGCCACCCTCCCCAGCAGCAGAAGCGAGAGCGTCAGCAGCAGTAGCAGCAGCAGAGCAGCAACTTCAGACGAGCCAGCACCACCACCACTGGCACCAGCACCAGCAGCACCGGCAGCAGAAGCAGAAGCGGCACTCTTAGAAGAGGAGGGGGGGGTTGATGCGGTGGAAATGGGGGGCCAGGAGGAGCCGGGAGGGAGGAGAGTGATCGGACGTGATGCGCTCGGCATTTTCATGCTTCCTGTACTCACATGTCCTGCCCTAGCTCCAGTAACGCCCGAACCTCCGGTAGCGCCCGTACCTCCAGTAGCTCCGGCAGCTCCCGTACCTCCGTGTCTGCTTTGGCCTGCTGCCCCACCCTGTACAAGCTGGCTGCTTGCATGCTGTGCCCATTGTACAGGTGTCAGTCTGTCATTGACCGGGCCTGCTTCCTGTGAGCGGTGAGGGAGGGATGAGTGGTGGGGCGGGGTGAGGGGTCGTAGGGAGGCCAGACGGCCGAATCTGTTTCTGCGGCTCGATGGTGCTGCAGCCAGCCCGATCTCGCCAGATCTCACGTTCTCAGCCGTTGATTTGATATCACCTGAAGATGCTGCCAGAAAGGCTGCTTCTGCAGCAGCTGCTGCAGCTGCTCCGTCCAAAACTTCCCCAGAAAAGATCGGGGCCAGCAAATCATGGCCCCCATATGCTCCTGCTGCTGCTGCTGCTGCTGCTGCTGCTGCTGCTGCTGCTGACGATGCTACAGATGCTGAACTGCTCAGAATAGGCCTCTGCTCCCACGAGCTCGAAGAGAAAGGCGACATCGCCTCATCCGATTCCTCCTCCACGCTGCTACTGCGCTCCACCTCTCCCACGGAAGCCAGGTGCGCGAACAGAGAGTCACTGCTCCACTTGCACCGCCGCTCCCTCCTCCCTGAATCCCTTCCTTCCCTCCCCTCCCTCCTCCCCGCCTCCGTGCCACCCCTCTCCCCTCCCCCCCCAGCCCTTTCTCCCCTTCGCTCCCGCCTGCCCCATTTCTTGCCCCTCTTTCCGCCTGCAGCCTCTCCAGCATGGAGGAACGTGGGACTGGCGGCAGGCGCCCCAGCATGCAGGGAGACGGATCGGCCTGCTGCCAGCATTGTCGGGCCCTCTGCGCCCGTTCCCTCTCCCTCTGATCCACTCGCTGTGCGGATAGCACCAGCAGCGGCACTAGAGGGATCCGCCACATGGGCAGCACCGGCGGTGGCAGCAGAGGAGGCAGTGCCACCAGCTTCAGCACCAGCGGCATCAGAGGCAGCAGCGAGATCGCAGCTCCGGCCACCATCGGACCATCTCCTCCCGCTCCTCGCCCTAAACTCTGCTACTGCTGCGCCTGCTGCTGATCCTACAACCCGCGATCGCTTGCTGCTGCTGAACAAGCTTCCAATGCCTCTACCCCCCTTTCCTCTCGACGAAGCCACCACACTCTCTCCCCCCACTCCCTCCCCCTCAGTCCCTACCCCCTCCTCTCCTCCTTTTCGCCCTCCATCACTTCCGACCAGTTCAAAATCCTTCTCCCTGCCCAAACTTTTCTTTTCAGTCCTGCCCGGCCGCCGCACCTTCCCCCGGCCGTGGAACATACCAGCACCCATAAACGCCATGGTGAACTTTCTCGCTCTCCTCGCCTGCACTACTCCGTCCGTTGACGCGCGAATCAACTCCACTCCCCCGCGCCCTCCCTCGCGTGCGCTGCCGCTGCCGCTGCCGCTGCTAGTACTGTCGAATACGCCCTCCCTCAGATGACCCTCCCCCTCATAAACCTCGATACTAGCACCGACTCCAATCCCGCCGCACCCCTCGTCTGAAAGCCCTGCGAAAGACCCGTCGGGAGATTCGATCGACTCGCCTCGGCTCTGCCCGTAACTCTCGCCGCGTCCGACCGCAGAATGGAAGCTTCCGAAGGGAGAGGGGGCCTCCTCGGATCGGCAGCGCGGGAGGGAGCGACCTAAGTAGACGCCGCTCCTTCCCATGCAGCCGTCGCCCCTCACTACTTGCTTTTCATGCTGCTGCTGCTGCTGCTGCTGTTGCGAATCAGTCATTCGCGCAGGTAACGGCAAGGGGCTCGAAAAAAACGGATCTCCACTAGAATAGTGCAAATCCTGGTCGTCGATTGGTGCAGCGACGGAAGAGCTGGGCCCTGCTCGCTCCTGGAGCGCCTCCCAGTAACCAACAGGGAGCGCCTCCCAGTCACCAACAGGGCTAGTAGTGCTGTTGCTGTTATGATCACCGTGACGGCACGTGCTGGGATCATTGAGGAATCCGCTGAAGGAAGGAAGTGGAGGGGAGAAGGACGAAGCTCTCGTGAGACACGGATGAGACGACATGCGAACCATTTTTCTGCTGTTGTTGCTGCTGCTGCTGCTCCGATTTTGATCTGCCACACTCGCAGCAGCGATTCGATTATCTGTTTCGAAGACGTCCGAGCCGGAAAGGCAACCGTCTTTCACTTTTCCCGAGGCCATCAATAACGGGGATGAAAACACCCTCCGAAACCGCGTGGATAAATTTATCGAATCGACACCTGCTTCAGACGACTCTGAAGCTTTCGCCAGCGACTCGCGAGTACAAGCGAAGCTGGTAACTCTGGCTGCCGCCGTATGCGAATGACGAGTGCTAATCTGCGTCCTTCGTCGTATCGATGTGCGATGCTGGATGATTAGGGATGCGACGACAACTGCTGACGTGGCCAAGACAGCAGCGGTTCGGCTGAAATAAAGAGACGACAAGGCCACTAGAAGGATGAAGAGTGTCTCTAATCGTCGCCAAGTGTCGTCTGCTGCCATTTGCCGATAAAATTCCGCTGCTTCTGCGGCTGCTACTGCTGCTGTTTCAGCAGGCGGACTCGTCACTTCCTCAGCTAAACTACGACTTAACAGCGTAAAATTTCCACGCAAACCTTCGGATGCAAAACTATGGCTCCGCAGCGTAACGCTTTGCGCTTCCCCAGGGACATCTCTCGGTAGGATGATCTGGAGAGGTGACGCCGCTCCTGATGCTTCGCCTTCGGGCATTGTCGTAGAAACAAGCGAGGCGTTGGATGTGGAAGCTCCGGATTTAGCGGCATCATTAGCATCAATCACTCTGCGCGGCTCAACGTGCAGCGCTGCGGAGCGCGAGCTGTTCGGAGCTCTGCGATTCTCAACGCTGGAAAGCGGCGCCATGACCTAAGAACTAGTAGTGCAAGGAATGACCTGAAAAGCAACCCTAAACATCGAACCACATGCTACGAGCAGAGGAATCTGCGAGATAAAGGTCTCGTCATGATAACGCGCGAAAGGTTGAACAGACTTCCAAAGTGAAACCCGCCTCTGAAGGAAACCTTACCTCGCCAAGCTAAAACTTCTCACTGATAGAAATGGATGCGAGGCAGAATTGAATTTTGCAAACTGAAATTGATTGTTGAACCACTCTCAAGGCAACCCCATCTGTGAGAAAAAACCAAATTCGAGGAGGCTGATGGTGGTGGGGAGGTTGGTGGTTTCTTGTCTAACTTGGTGAACCTGTCAGGTGACAGAGATGATGTGGACATGCGGCCAGTAAACGGAACTGGAAGGGAAGGAAAGGTGACGTCGACACATGGACGCGGAAGGTCCACGGAAATTGTGTTCATGACGTGGATGTAAGACTTGTAGCAAAGGTTACCATCTGGAGACTGGAACACGTCAGAGGTCATTGATTTTCGCAAGCGTGCCACCGATTGGTGGCAAAACAGCTGAATGCGCGCTCACTGATTCTCGCGATGTCTTTCGGCGGCACAAAACGAGGTTCGCGAAGAGACACTGGTTTTCCCCATGCCACGACCGCGAGTGCCATTTTTTGTCCGTTGTTGTGCATTCGTGGATGCCCCTTCAAATCCAACCAGTTCACACGTGGGAAAGAGGTGCCTACCAGCCAGCCAGCTTTGTGGGTGCCTGCCAGCCAGGCGCATGATTCATCTGGATTCTTGATTCTTTATTGCGATCCCTTGTTCCTTCGCCTAATCATACTACACCACTACTGGCACAAATGGCTTATGCACACAACCTTCGAGTACGCTATTTGAACAAGTTGGAAAAATGCTACTTGAAAGTACAGAGACCATCAGCCTTTCCACTGGTGCTTGAGTGCGTAGCACCATCAACAAATTACAAAAAAAATGTAAACCTCTTGAGTATTCACTCTTCAAGCCTCCCTTATGCTGTCCACATGGAAAATTGCCCCCTGTATCCCATAAGGGTCTTGCATTCACATGTGAAACACAGTGTGGGACCTCATGGCGTGCTGCTGACATATGCTTCAAGGCGTGCTGCTGTCGTATAGCGACTCCAAGAACCGCCGTGCCTTGGGTGGGCTGCCATCCTTCTTCTTCAAGCTCACCTTGCGCGCCGTCTTTGTCTGCAGGGCATCGCCGGGTGAAAGTTAATAATTGGATATAAGGGACAAGTGCGTTAGGGTACACCCAAACCAGCACCAGGGGAGAGAAATGGGCACAGACGCAAGCATGCAGAGGAAAAACAAGGTCCAGGATGGCTCGGTGCAGCCCCAGCCCATCCCATCCCATCCCATCCCTCCTAAAACCTCACCCGTCGCAAAGTAAGGTCCATAATCGCCTGGTGTAGCCCCAGGTGCTCAGCGCGGTGCAACTTGTTCTCCTTGCTTGGCTTCGGCAGCCTGCCTCCCTGCACGCTCAGCCACTGTCATCGTCCCCCCTCAAAAACTTACCCGTCGCAAAGTAAGGTCCATGATGGCCTGGTGCAGCCCCAGGTGCTCCGCGCGGTGCAGCTTGTTCTCCTTGCTTGGCTTCGGCAGCTTGCCTCCCTGTGCGCTCAGCCACTGCTGTGACACACCCATCAGCCGGTACCGCCCGTCCGGCTGTAGCTGCCACGCCTGGCGCTTGTCAAAGAGGCACGCGTCTATGATGGACTGCAGCTCGGATTTGATTGCGCGGTCCTCCACGGGGGTTACCACCTCCACTCGCCGTGTGAGGTTGCGGCTCATCCAGTCGGCAGAACCAATGTAGTACTGGGGGTCTCCGCCTGGGGGGGGGGGAGAGGGGGGCAGATAGTGGAGGACAGAGGGTGGGGGGAGGAGGGCGGAGGGCGGAAGGCGGAGGGGAGAGGGGAAGGGAAAGAGAAGGGAAAGAGGGAGTAGGGAGGGCGAAATCGTCTGTGAGGTTGCGCCACGGCCATGAGTCTGTAGCTGCCACGCCTGGCGCTTGTCAAAGAGGCACGCGTCGATGATGGACTGCAGCTCGGATTTGATTGTGCGGTCCTCCACTGGGGTTACCACCTCCACTCGCCATGTCAGGTTGCGGCTCATCCAATCGGCTGATCCGATGTAGTACTGGGGGTCTCCACCTGGGTGGAGGGCGGGAGGGAGGATAGGAGATGGGAAGCGATTGTGAGCGAATCTAGTACCGCGGGTCTCCACCCAGTCGGGGACGCGGGAAGGTAAAGGGGAAGCCCCACAACACACCCCACCGCCCCCCACCACATCCTCTTCCACCCCTCCCCAACCGCTCCTCACCGTTCTCAAACTTGAAGATGCGGTGGTGCTCCAGGAACCACCCAATAATGCTCATGACCCGCAGGTTCTCACGCATTCCCGACACCCCCGGCCGCAGCTCAGCTGATTTGCCTACCCACACACACCCATACACACACCCCACTCCAATCCACTACACCCCCGTCCATCCTCCCCCAACAACTCCTCACCATTCTCAAACTTGAAGATGCGGTGGTGCTCCAGGAACCGCCCAATGATGCTCACGACCCGCAGGTTCTCGCTCACGCCCGGCACCCCCGGCCGCAGCCTGCACATGCCCCGCACGATGCAGTCCACCTTCACACCGTTCCCCACCGCTTCGTAAATCTTTGCAACCATCACCTCGTCATCCAAACCGTTGCATTTGATGACCACGTGGGCTGGGAGGCCCGCTGCTGCGTTGGCAATCTCGCGGTCGATGAGGCGGAGGAACTCCCGGCGCATGGTGCCGGGGGCAACGAGCAGGCGGTTGTACTTGTTCTGTCTGTGGTACCCTGTCAGGTACTTGAACAGATCCCTCACATCCTCTCCTAGTTCTGGCCGACAGCTGGAAGCAGGGAGGGAGGAGAAAACAAAGTCACGGGTGGGGGATGGGAAGGCTGGAATGAGGTGGAAGCGCCCGCAGAACAGCGCATGGTCAAAAGAAGACTAAAACGAGGTGGAAGCGCTTGGAGAAGGACAGCGCAGGAGGACAGCGCAGGAGGACAGCGCATGGTGCTGCTGGGTGCGACAAGCAGGCAACTGGTTTGAACTTGTTCTGCCAGCGATATTCTATCATATCAGGCACTACTTCCTTCTCCCAGCCTTGAAGGCAAGTCACAGACGCACCTGAAGAGCCCAAAGTCGGTGTAGACGGAGGCGGTGCGGGGGTTGTAGTTGCCGGTGCCGATGTGCACGTAGGTGCGGAAGCCCTCCTCCTCCTCGCGCACCACCATGATGCACTTGCAGTGCGTCTTCAGCCCCACCAGCCCGTACGCCACGTGGCACCCCGCGTTCTGTCGTGGCGAGGGGGAGAATGTATGGGAGAAGCAAGAGAGGTGGTCAATCTCTGGAGACACCAAAATGGCCCCACCAGCATGTACGCCACGTGGCACCCCGCGTTCTGATGGTGCGCGGGGGGGGGAAGGCAGGAAAGAAATGAGAGAGATGATCAATGCTTGAAGACTCCGACCAAGCTCCACCAGCCCGTACGCCATGCAGCACCCCGCATTCTGTCGTGGAAAAGGAGAGAAGGGACATGACCAAACGATTCAGGTAATTGTCAGCCGCAAGTTCGAGTCTCCATGGGGTTGATGGTTCGCGGAAGGCTAACACGGAGTTAATCTTGAAAAAAAAAAACCCTGAATCCGAAAGATCCAATCAGTTGCCCCCAACGCACCTCAAGTTTTTGCGCGAATCCCACATTCCTGGCTTCATCGAAGCGGGCCTTGAGCTCCACCAGCACTGCCACCTGCTTGCCATACTCTGCTGCCTTGATGAGCGCTGAGATGACTGGGCTATCCGCTGACGTGCGGTATAGAGTGGCCTTGATGGCTTGCACCTGCACCGGGGCGAGTATGGAGTATGCGCAGGCAAAAAGGAAAAAGGGGCTTTGATGATGAGCCTTGAGCTCCACCAGCACGGCCACCTGCTTGCCATACTCGGCTGCCTTGATGAGCGCTGAGATGACTGGGCTATCCGCTGACGTGCGGTATAGAGTGGCCTTGATGGCTTGCACCTGCACCGGGGCGAGTATGGAGTATGCGCAGGCAAGAAGGAAAAAGGGGCTTTGATGATGAGCCTTGAGCTCCACCAGCACGGC